TCTGAACAATCCGACAACCATTGCGCTATCACTCGTCCATTCCAAGCTTTGGCAGTCATGTACGCACCATGGCGACGTTTGAACACCTTGAGCATACATGGGAAAACAAAATATTGTTTATGTTCAGGCATTTGCAATAAGGTGTCACTTTTATGGACAAATGACTAAACCAAAGCATGTGCAAAGGACAAGTGGCTAGTCCAGGTGTGAATCGCCCTTGTCCAGGAAACACCTTGTTCTCCTTGCACCAGTGACGATAGTCCTCCCGGGCTTCCATCAAAAGCGGTTTCATTTGCAAAGAAGGGTCTCCAAAGCACCCAAGTTCCACCAACGTGCTCCTTGAGAAAACCCAAGCACACAGACCAGAAAATACAAATACACATTATTATCATACTAGTCGACCAGTCACCAGAAACCAGCATGGAAAAAGTACAAACAAAATCTTCCACGAAACAAGCTTGATCCGTTTGCTGTATAGAGAAGGCCAAGATTGACACAATGCATGGAGCATACTTTGATGCAAAAAATGTCGAAGTGTTTCAAGGCCAGCCAAGGGCCTGACTTGGAGATAACCATCAAGTTAAAAATTGTTCAACTTTATTTGGTCCCTGAACATTTTGTTCTATAGATCACTACTTCCCGGACGAATATGGTGCAAAAGAACATATGTACTGCCAGGATACATGGGACTTCAGGAAGCTCTTCATTCATGAATTCCACCGTGTCATACTCTGTGTTCGCCCAATCTGGATCGTCTCGCACATCAGTGTACAGGCAATCATTTCCAGATGATTTTGCACCACACTTGCAACACACATTGATACCAAGCCAATGGGCTGTATGTTGCCAAATTTTCCTGTGAAACTCTTGGTCGCCTCGAAACTCCGCAACGATAAAGCGTTCACCATTATCGAACAATGCTGGCGAATCGAATGCACGGTTCAGCGACTCAGTCATCTTCAGCAAAACTGGTCTCAGAGTCTGCGGTCCTGCAATCCAGTCAGATCGAATGTTGAAGATCAAGTATCTGCTGAGCCGAATATTTGCCGGTCTGTAGTGTATGACGTTCATAAAGATACACAATACCTTGAAGGGGTCAAACACGTTCTCTGAGATGTTCGCCTCGTCACCGTACAGACCGATCCTCAAATTGTGTGTCTAAACAAAGTCGTGGTTAAAAACCATGTCACATGACTTGTAGGGCAATGATAATCCTCTAATACCAAATTGACAAATTAGAATAAAACACATCCGGACAACAGCATGGGTAATAGTTGTTGCTAGGTAATTTTGATCCCCATATTTCCCTACTCTACACACTCTCTTGGCTGACCATGAAGATGACTGAATGATCCACTGTCAGGGCGCCCTGTCCTTGATTCAAAAAAATGTGAAACGAAAGCATTTATAAATTAAATGTGCGAAGGTTCTTTATGATTGTTCATACATCAAGTTGCAGAAATGGTAGTAACCTTGTGGGTCCTAAGTAAGTTACAATGTGCATAACATGATATCATGTGCAACCTTCTACCTTCATGAATTCTTAAGCTGCTGCGCAGCTTTGTGAAGTAAACTTATTGACAGAAAACGTGTAGTTGGCAAACGCTTTTGAGTTCAGGCATGAGACAGGCACCCTTGGAGGCTTAAGTAAACCCAGCAATATATGATTTAACATTAGTCTCTTGAAATATTACTGGTGTTCTGGTATATGTATTTCAAACACATGTAGGACCATGTAAGGGTGGATGAAACAAAACCAAGATTCGGAATTAAGGTCTCATCATTGACCCGAGTAGCCCAGGCATTTCCAACAGACTTCAAATGGCACCAGTAATTTCTGATCCATTCTGGAGGGATTTTCAAACCGACCTTGACCAAGTGCTGTAAAATTTGATGTGGCAGAAACATCGGTAAGGATCTTGTGATCGTTGATCCATCATCTTTGGGTGAAAGCACTTCGCAGTCAACCTTGACAGTTTCCTCCAGGGTTTGCTGATGGTTTGCTTTTTGGAGAAACGTGAGAATTGTCCTCCCAAACAAATGTCACATGCTATTCTTTGTCACTATGTTTTTTTGGGTAAACAAACCATGTATGCCACATGCTATTCTTTGTGACATGTTTTGACTATTTTCTTTTTGCCACATGATAAAATATGGTGACGGGAAACAATCGAAAATGTTTGTTGCATAACTATACCCAGAGGATCCATGTATGGAATATTTACCTACATTGACCCCTAAAGTAATTTAAAATAACCCCAATGTAGGTAAATATTCCATACATGGATCCTTAGGGATATATATTTAATCCATAAAGTGTTGCCGGTACTTGTTCTCTGATCTTGATACCGAAACCTTAGTGTCATCTGGTGGTACTGTATACTTTAGATGGAAAACAAAAAAAAATGGCTGAAAGACTCTGTCGTTGGACTCCCGACCAATGTCCAGCGGCAACTTGACATTCTGACAGAAATCGCGCGCAGCATTGAAGCGTGAATAGGTTCCAAGCTTGCGAGACATAGGTTTCATGCCAGCTCCACCAGACTCCTGGCAGAAGCAGGTCAAGTGCAATCCATTCAAATCTAGGTTGTCACGATGATCTAGTTCTCAACTAAAACGACAAAACACATGTTAGCTAAGCAGTGCGTGTTTGGCTTTCAAACAAGTTTTTAAGTTCCTGCAGCCATGATATCTGAACATCTTCCCTCAGCCATGGTTGGCCTCCACCTGGTTGGAGAAGGTCTTCATGACTGAAGCGAAGGTGCTCGCCTCGCAGCTGCTTGGCAGGATATGGATTGTGTTGCCCTAATGCAACGCCCTATTGGTTGAGAAATTACCACATGGTCATGGAGTTGAATGTGAGAGATTCTCATCAAGAGAAAAATTCTAGGACTCGGAGTTTCTGGGAGGCAGCATAGATTTGGCATCATGCATTGCTGATGTGTTTTTTATCTAACCTTTTATGTTTGCGGTGGTTGATGATGCTATTATGGGATCCAGCAGTTTGCAAACGATGAGAAACAAGCAAATGATTCTGCCAGCAAGGCACACCCGAAGACAATTTATCCACGGCATCCCTGATGGTAGCCGCATTCGCAGCATCGTCTAGTGCATTGTTGTCATCACCTGCGTGGATCCGCTAATCTATGGTTGCAATGTATACATTGCCAAAAGGGTGTCATCATGGGATATGTTGCTTGCAAATGTTTGCAATCCACCATCTTTTGTCGCAGCGCCACAAGTGATCCAGCTCCATCCAAGACATCGCTATCGATATCAAGTGTGTGGCCTGTGCAACCACACAACAACTGAGCAACGTTGGCCCACAGTGTAAGAAGGCTTCCCTTCATGTTTACAAAATATGGTCCTTCTGTGCATACAGACGAACACTGGGCTTCCAGAAAAATAAAATTTGATTATAGTATATGCATGTTTTTTCTATGTTGGGATCCCTTATGATTGTCGGCTAGTGGAACTTCTGCAGTATTCGTCAGCGTTGCACATTGCACGAAGAGCTAAGCACGCATACTCTGTGGCCAATGGCCCATCCCCCCTTCATATCTGGCTCCAAGGTACTTTGAGGACTAGCATGGCCAAAGACATAACAAATCATCAACTGTTCATGGATGTTCATGGTATAAACGATGCATTCACTGGTAGATTATGACGGAGTTCAGAAAAGTTCATCCACTAATGTTCAACTTTTGGCGCATCATCGTTCCATGGGTTTCCCCTTTGCCAGATATCCCCATAGATTAAATCATTCAACTCATGACATTTACTTTGCTGCTTTCAGCTTCTTGACAGGGCCCATCACTTTGTCAAGCTCATCCAATTGCCTTTTCAGATGTGTCGTTGCTTCGGGAATCTCAAGCACCTGCCAAGGCATCAATCGAGAAGGAAATGTGGAACAGACTGGAAGAGAAAATTGTTGCTTGGAGCACAGGTAAAACTTGCAGAGTGGGGTACTAATCGTTACAAACAATATTAATTTATATATTCCTCATCACATTTTCACAATCCACAGGTTCAGAACAATGACTAGAGCACGGAAACCCCATACCTTGGATTCATCCATCTTGGATCGAAGAGAATCTCGCGCAGTTGTCACATCTGTCAGCTTCGATTCCACATCAACCTCCACAGCTTTCCGATAGTTCTGGGACCTAGGCAATGGATCGAGGAAGCACACATGCATGTGTTGCTAAATAAACTGTTGATGGCATGTAGGGAGAACATGTTGAAATGCAAGGATTGATATTATATATAATTATATATACGTTGATAGGTGGTTCAATTCAATAGTGACACAGTGACACGCACATATCAAGCTGAGATTAACACAGCGATTCCAGCTTCGGCACCACGCTCTTCCATTGGGCCAGCTTCGTGGATACCTGTCCAATCACCTGAGATCACATGCCGGAAATAATTGGGAATCTATATGCTATATGAATCTCTTATATGGTCTGTTTGTTAACATCTTCAAACACAAACTCATTATTGGCTGCGCTGTAGACAAGTTTAAAGTTGAGACATATTCTAAAATCAGAAAGCTAAGGCACCTTTTTTGCCTCAGAAGATTCCTTTCGTTCTTTCTCCTTTGCTTCACGTGCATCCTTCTGCTCCTGGGTCTCCTCAGGTTTTTCCTTTTTGGCCTTTGTCTGTTTGTCCTTCTTTCCCTTTCGAGGCTTCTTGCCTGTAAATAGCTGCACATGGTGGAAACACCAGTGTGCAAATCATGGCGGTTTTCATCAGGACTATGTGCCCATGACCCAGGTGAGATGATAAAACATTATCACGTAGCTACATTGGTTACACTCAGATAAGGCAACAATATGTCCAAACACTTGTCCAGTGCACTTTTTTGCTAGCCTGTATTCTTCTTATCCTTATCCTTCTTGTCGCTCTTCTTGCCTTTACTTTTTTTCTTCTTTTTGGCCTGCAACATGGTCCCTAGTATATGAACTTGTCGTGGTAATGGTGAATTCCATTGTCTTCTATTGTCTCCTAGCCTTCTTGTCCGACGATGAGCTGCTGCTGCTGCTGCTTGACGAGCTGTCTTCATCCACCGCATCGAACAGAAATTTTACTTCTGATTCTTCACTGTCCATTTCAGACTCTTCATCCAGGCATTTGTATTGCCTCATCTCCTGCACAAGTGATGCAGCAGTCACACTGGTATGGAGAGTAAAAACCAGTTGACTGTGCCACAAAGATGTCCTAGAATTCGGCTTATGTTGACATCATGATTGTGAGACACTAACAGTCTGCACAAAAATTGAGCACATGTTGAATTTGAAATTGACATTTGTGAATAAAGCATGCTTCCCTGTAACCAAGACAGGTCACCAGAAGCAGACCCATTCCAATGCCCGGGCCTCGACACCTGGACAGTCTGGGTGGTCACGGCATTCAGTTTCCTTTAGGTCCTTGTCACCTTCTTTTCTTTGTATCATCGCTTCCGTAGCAGCTTCACCGAAACGGCTGATCATCTCCGACTTCAGGAACCACTTTCTTTTGCCCATCTTCTTGTTGCTACGTGACTCAGTGGCCTGAATGTAGAGCTTAGATTTTTTCCAGTCACCAGAGGCCGACAACCAGGACTCAAAAAGGACAGAGTGTAGGTGAGAACCTTAGCTGAACTCAAGGCAACCCAGGATCATGTTTGGTGCAATTTCTTTCGATTCAAAGACCATCAATTGGATACCGTGTTATCTGCCTATCGGCCCATTACCATTTCACATCCAACACCATCCAAATGATAGCTCGGATGTAAAATTAAATATCGGACCATTATCATTTCACATCCAACACCATCCAAATGATAGCTCGGATGTAAAATTAAATATCGGACCATTATCATTTCACATCCAACACCATCCAAATGATAGCTCGGATGTAAAATTAAATATCGGACCATTATCATTTAAACCAACACCATCCAAATGATAGCTCGGATGTAAAATACACCAAAGACCATGAGCTTACTAATCCATGCCAATGTCGGATGTGACATTCTACATAGCATATTCATCAAATCAAATATCATTTTCGCATCCAACTGATTGTTTGGATGTGAAATGCATGTGGGCTGACACCAATGACTAACTAATGAAGTTTTCACATCCGACTGATTCCATGTTAGAAACTATACCGCCCATTTTTCATCTAATTGAACGGTCTTTGAAAGAATAATTATAGGACAAATCATGGACTCTGAATGACTCGAAATGTCCCTAGAATGATAATTTTGTGAGCAAGGCAATGGAAATTAACATATTTGAGGAAAATAGATGCAAGTTCCGAGAATGACGATGCAGCTAAGTAATTAATTTCCATTGCCATGTGTTGTGAGCAAGGCAATGGAAATTAACATATATATTTTTTGATGACTATAGATGCATGTCCCTAGAATAATGAGGCAGCAAAGTAATGAATTTCCATTGCTATGCTTTGCGAGCAAGGCAATGGAAATTAACATATTTGAGGAAAATAGATGCAAGTTCCGAGAATGACGATGCAGCTAAGTAATTAATTTCCATTGCCATGTGTTGTGAGCAAGGCAATGGAAATTAACATATTATTTAAGGAATGTAGGTGCAATAAGCTATTTTTACATTCGAAGAGTCACATGCGATATGCCGCTGACTACTCAGCAGTGTTATTTTATTTTATTTTATCATGGTGGCATGAAGACATGTCAGTGGAAATGGTTCTACAAGTATGTAGATGGCCAGGGTCACAAAAACTCAAAAATATTCATGATACACACAACACTTCCACTGCCATGTCTGTTAACATTGTCCACCTCAAAAGGTTCTCCATGAAGACCAACGTGCACTGGAACATGAAGTGTCGTTGACTATTATACTGAAATCGTTCTGATTGTTATTTTAGTAATAACAATCTACGGAATGAATATTAAACGTATCATTGCAAGGGATGAGTTGAACAATCTTAATGATGCATTTTGTTGCAACAGGTCAATTTTACGTTTGGGGTTTTGCACGAAGCCACATCCGTGGGCTCGACGGCCCATCTTCTGAATCTCTTCAGGAGTCTTCGGGCCTCAAGGCTGTGAATATGTAAAGAGTTTTTGACCAACTGTCCAACCAAGGTTCAATGTGTTTGGCGAGCTGACGGTACACGTTTGAGGCTTGGGCTGGACAGAGTGCGATGGTACTTCATGTAGAGTGCATGCTTTTTCTTGTATTCTTCGCTTCGTTGCTTGGGAACCTTCAGGGGTAGTTCCAAAATAAAGAATTACTTGATCAGGTTTTATCATATATGTCTTTGTTCATACAAAATGTGTATAACTCATTCAAGGAGATAGTTGCTTCACATTTGAAGTCAGACTAGTCTATACAGTAGTGCTGGTCCATGTCAGTCACTCGAGTCATACCCTTCACCCTCTGCGGCCTTCTTGTCATCATTCTTTGCTTCCACGGCATTACCATCAGGAGTTTCTGAGGGCGCACCGGTGTCACCATTCGATGAACTGGGTGCGGTTCCAACATCGGATCCATCATGGTGTTCCTGGTTCATCTCATCACCTGGAGTTCCATTGGGAGAAGCTGCTGGGGCAGGGACTGACGAGCTCGGTGAGGTTGCATCATCCAATCTGACAGGCTTTTCATGTTTCTTCTCATCATTCTTCTTCTCATCATTCTTCTTATCATTCTTCTTATCATTCTTCTTCTCATCATTCTTCTTCACATGTTCAAGGTCCGGCGTGTTGAGCCTGTTCAATGACATGTGCAACGCGGAGACGCTGGTCAACTGCGAAAACCCGCTGACCCCACTCTCGACAGAGTTCGACCTGCGCACTGTGTTCCCTCCCTCTTTTCCATGGTAGTTGTCCCATTGGCCCCAGGAACCATAGTAGCCATATCCATAGTCCCAAGAGCTCTTCCACGATCCACCCCAGCTATCGTAAGGCCAATACCCATAGTATGACCAATCATCTTGCTTCCAGGCGGACTGATTGTCTTCCTCAGGAACACGATCTTCAGCGTCAGGTGCAGCGGGCTCATGGGTAACTGGCTCACCTGCTATAACATCATTGCAAACATCACCTGGTTCATATTGCTGCGTTTCCTCAGTATCCCCAGGCCCAACTCCAGTCTCACCTCCTTCTTGGAAACTTTCTTCTTCTGGAAATTTCTGACGGTCATCGAAGTGCTGGTCCATGAAATCTTCCAGTTCTGGTTCCAGGTCGATCACGTGTGGTTTCTCCTCCACATCAACCTGTGTCGCTGGGAGTGACTCCACGTTTTCCTTCTCATTCTTTTCAGCCATGGACAGGCGAGAAGCATCAGCTTCAGCAGAGGCTTGGGCATAGTGATCCATGGCATCCTCTGGTGCGTTGGGGTGTTCTCGAACAGTATCATCCCCAAAGTCAGCAGCTGGTGTAGTATAGGCTTCGTGGTTTCCATCAGGAGCAACAGTGGCACCACTTATCTTCTTCTTCTTGCGGACAATAGTCTTGATGACCTTTCGTTTCTTCACTTTTTCTTCACCTGCCAGTTCAGGCAGATTGGGTGTAGTATAGCAAAGTAAGTTATTTTACTGGAAAAACAAGAATCGTATTATTGAGTTCAATCTTTTCTCAACAATGATCAGACTAGAAGAATTCTACGGTGTTTGATTGCTAAATTGCCCATGTGTGGCACACAGCAAATCATGTGTGGAGCCAGACATTCAGACCAAAAATGCATAGGACCTCCAGTTCGGGGAACAGCTGATGCTTCGAGTGTAGAAGACCTTGGGTGGATGTTAAAAAGAAGAAAGTCGAGAAGGCATTATTTAGACAAAAGAGCATGGGGTTAAATTTGGATATCCAAGTCGTTGAACAAGAAATATATTAAACAATGAATTCCAAATTGTGGTCCTGTTTGGCCCATAACCATATTGATTTCCATAGTCGGTTTCATGTGACATGGTCTTACAGCATGCAAGAGGCAAATAATGAGAGCTGAGACATTGACAAAGCCGGTTCTTTGGACGTGCGAGCAGGTGTTGGAAGCGGCTGCTTCTCAGTTGAATCTTTTTCCCCCATGATTGCAGAAGCACACAGCCACTGTGAACAGCCAAAATGGGCTAGTCGGCTAGGTACTTCCATCCATGAATGCCAGGTGATCAATTTGAGACAGCCACAAGAAGATGCAAACGTGGCTGAGGCTCGGAGAATGTGACATGGTTGTCAATTTTCTGGATCAAGCAATGTTTATTAGATCAAGTAATTATACTTTCCACTGAAATCACAATGAAAAGCCACTATGATACCTTTTTTCACCAGCGCAAGTTGCCCCCATCTTCTCTGAATTTCAGGGAATGGTGGTAAATTCGGGTGACTTGCTCATTTCTTTGTTGTATTTCATGCCTTTGTCCTGTCTGTCCAACACAAAATGTGCCTACAATGGTGTTTATTATTGTCCCTGTGGTGCTCACGGTTTGCTCACGGTTTGCTCACGGTTTGCTCACGGTTTTTCCACGTCCTGAATAAGTAAATCCATGTCTTTTAGGGGGGTGCTCACGGTTGCTCACGGTTTGCTCACGGTTTGCTCATGGCCATGTTCTGTTATCAAGAACAACGGATTTCAACATATTCTAATAGAAATATAGAATTCCATGTGTACAACCATCAACAATTCTGCTTTCACGATGTTTGGTCGGTGCAGTCGCCACCACCATTCAACTAGAATGCTTACAAGGTCGACTATTTTAGTCAAATTAGGCCTTGTGCCTTACGACGGTTGAGAAAAGTCTGAACCTGGTCGAAATCTGCAGGTGCCCAAGCATCAGAAGTCTTCACCTCAATACAAAGAGGACTGTTTGCACACTTTGCTCACTGTTCTGAGCACTCCGGTTGATTAAGATTGGCAGAAAACTGAGCATTGAACCTTCCAGTGGCGTTTCAAGATTCGTTGCAAACTGTGC